ATCGTATCTATATATTCTCTCTCTCTCTCTATAAAACGTTATTTAGTACTATGTAATATATATATATATATAGTGTTATCTAACTATGTATTCAGCTATTTTATCTATTTCTCTATGTAACTTACTATCTAGCTATCTATCTACACTGATTCTCTACACAATCTGCTACAACACTACTAACTCTCAAAGCAACTAACGCAACAACAGCAACAAACCAACCTACTCTGCAAAGACAGATTCAAATGAATGCCACTAAACAGGGATATCCCATCTCTGAACACACTCGATCCAAAGTGATTCACATGACAAACCGAACCAATCAGCTGATTTGTATGACGTCCGACGCACCCAGCTGCATCGGACGTCACTCAAGTGATTCAAATGTGTGTCACTAGTTGTTATGGTCACTCACTCATGGGAGGGTGAGTGAGTGAAGAAGCAGACCCAGATAGCTGACTTCAGTGCAAACAGATTTATTCGTGCTGTACAATATATATAGGTGACGTGGTATGGTAGATGACAAGATAAAGGAAACAGTAGGACCGGGTGCTGATCAGCTAGCAAAATACAGTCAATGAAGGGAATGAATGAGATGGGCTTAGCTGCTGACGCTAGGGTCACTCCCGGTCTGGCTTGTCTTCAGGAACTCTTCATAGTATAATTGGCTTGTGTAATTACAATTTTATTACATAGTTTTAAGACCTTTTACTAGAGAAATGTGCCCTTCCATTTGGAAAATGTGACACATTTCTTGGAAGATAATGCAAATAGCTTTGGAATACTATAGACTATGCATTTCATAATTTTGTTGTACAGATTAGTTGTTTTTACTTTGTATTTTTTGTTTTCCATTAAATGGTGAAGACATGTTAACACTCATGGGGTGCTTTAATAAACTGACCTTTATAGGTGCTTATGGATAAAAAATGGCCTCTTCCTAAAGCAACTTTAACAATTTCATAAATTCATATTTTTTTCTACTTTAAACTAGCCAGTCTTTTAAAATTACTTCTGCCTGAAATAAAAAAAATATATGAATTATATTTTTGGGATTTTTAACCCTTTAAAGACCAGTATGTTTACATAACCCCAAAAAAACTAAAATAGTTTCCAAAAAATACATTTCAACCAGCATTTGATCATCATTATTATTAAGCCCTGAGATGGGTCAATGATTAGCAGCAACACTGATTATAATGCTTTTTTTTTTTTTTTTTGCAGTGGCAGATTTACACAAAAACTGCGCAATTAATTGCTTAGGCCACAAAATTGCCTCTTCCAAAACCAGCTCTAAAAATTTCATAAATTCATATTACCCTGTTGTGTTCTCAAATAAATAAAAAAATACAAGATCAGTTTGAACCAGGGAAACATTTACATGAGCATGTACATTTACTTTACTCCAAGAAAGCCCTGTACAAGAACTCCTATATGCCAAGACTGTCTGGCAAATAAAAATCTTAAATCTTCAACAATGAACACTGTCGGGTCCGCTCGGAGTGACCTGCCTCTCTTTCGCCTTTCACTCCTCTGTCCTCTCGACCTGCGGGATTCTGCACCTCAGCTGTGTTGCATTCGGCAATTAGCGACTGTTTGTCGGTGCATCCCGCTGATTACTTCCTACCTTATTTTAACCTCTGGCAGACGTTCCGTTGTCACATTGACAAATTGAAGCTTATACCTCATACATGCGTTTGTGTTATTCGTATGTTGCTTTCAATGCTGACAGTCCCTGTGCGGTTGATTCCTTTCGTATGTTGATTTATATGAGTATAGCCACGAGTTATGCAATGCTGACAGTTCCCTGTGCGGTTGCAGATAAACCTACGTGGTGTTCTTTTGTTTTCTCCTGCTGTACGTATCTGACGGTGATCTTCCCAGCCGTGGGTACCTGACAGCTAGCGCTATACCTGCCGATCTTCTGTTCTCCTGTGTTATTTTTTCGCCTGTCTTCTCAACATCCGTCGTCCTCCTGTCTTCTTACCTGCTCGTCCTGGTCTCCTCAACCATCTCTACTTTATCAGGACTGTACAAGTACATGGGCTTTGTTATATTCTTTTGTTACTTTGTTTTCTCATTAAACAACCATTTTTCTACTAGCACCTGGGTCTGCACAATTGAGTCCTACCTCAGTTCTCCCTCACCCTCCTGGTGAGGGGTCATACCATAACAAATCTTCAA